CGTATAACTGAATCACTTGTAGTCTTCTCATAATCATGGGCCTCGAAGTCCTCAGTGCTCTAGGCGAAGCGGAAAGAATTGGAGATCCAAAACCTTTAGAACCCAAGTCTGGAGATGAGATGGGAGGCCAATCTACCACTCTTTCCAGTAACGAATTCTATAACGCACCACAGCCGCACAATCCTCCACAACACTTTCAAAATGCTCAGCGGTCTCGGCCATCCGGCATGGCCTCCAATGCAAATATATTCTCTATTGAGGCCTTGTCCCCTTTTGCTAACAATAGGTGGACTATCAAAGCTCGTTGTACGCACAAATCTAACATCAAGACATGGAAAAACACTTTTGGAGAAGGAAAGCTTTTCAGTGTCAATCTACTGGATGACAGTGGTGAAATCAGGGCTACTGCCTTCAAAGATCAGTGTGATTTACTCTACCCTATCTTTGAAGAAGGCGCTGTTTACTATATCTCGAGCCCTTGCACAGTGAAGATGGCAAAGAAAGAATTTAGTAACGTGAACAACGACTATGAACTCACTTTCGATAGGGACACAGTTGTTGAAAAGGTAAGCAAGCGCATATCCCATGCTTAAACTAAGAATTCTCTAATTTTTAGAATTAGGCCGAAGATCAAAATGATGTTCCACAGATTCGCTTCAACTTTACTAGCCTAGGAAATTTGCAGTCAATTGACAAGGGAACGACAATTGACGTACTAGGAATATTGAAAGACGTTGATGCCACTTCTCAAGTGACTTCTAAAACTACGGGAAAGCCATATGACAAGCGGGAGCTTACGCTTGTTGATAATTCTGGATTTTCCGTCCGTCTTACAGTATGGGGAAATACTGCCACTAACTTCGACACACCTCCCGAGTCCGTTGTTGCATTTAAAGGGGTTAAAGTATCTGATTTCGGAGGCCGCACATTGAGTCTACTGAGCTCCGGCACAGTAACAGTTGACCCTGACATTGAAGAAGCACACAGATTGAAGGGCTGGTATGATGCCCAAGGAAAGTCAAACTCCTTTACCGCCTATTCCTCCGGAGCTACTGGAGGCGGCAGTGGCTCGTGGCCCACATTCAAAACCATCTCTGAGATTCGAGACGAAGAACTTCCAAGTGCAGATAGCTTTGAAGCCTTCTCACTAAAGGCCACTGTGATCCACGTAAAGGACAACTTGTGCTACCCTGCCTGCCCGAACGAGGCATGCAAGAATAAGAAGGTGACTAGAGGCGACTTGGACCAATGGCACTGTGAGCGATGCGAAAGATCGTACGCCAATCCCAAGTATCGCTACATACTTTCACTCAACGCATGTGACCATACTGGCCAAATCTGGTTGAGCTGCTTCGATGAAGCCGGCCAGATGATATTTGGCATGACTGCTGATGAGCTGATGAAAATCAAGGAGGAAGATGATGCAGCTGCAAATGAGATAACCAAAGGCGCAACCTACTGCACATGGAACTTTAAGTGCCGGGCAAAGCTGGATACCTATCAAGAGCAACAACGGTAAGACCCCTCCGTATCCCATTGTCGCTACCATTCACGCTGACGCCAATATGTTCTTTCTCTCTGCAGAACCCGGTATAATGTTTATGCGGCTACACCCATTGACTATGCTACAGAGGCCGACCAGCTATCTAAGTTGATCGCATCGTACAGTATCTAACGGGGACATAGACGGGTTGGTTTGAACTTGGGAATAGCCATCGAGTTCAGATGTTAGAGTAGTTTGAATAATAATAAACTAGCTCGTCTCTTGAATTGTAGCAGTCCAACAACTAACTACCTCTGTATCTTAGTTCAGCCTCAAGCCGAAGGAAGCTCCAGCCAGTCACGATGCTCTGCTTACTCATATTATCACGTGACTATCTTGGTGCCCTGGGCAGGTGAGGTCACGAGGAGCGGGAAGCGAAAGCGCGAGCAACAAACAACAACGACAAGCGACTTGAGGGACTGAAAGAGAGAGACAAGGGAGAACCCAACACTCGCAAAAACGAGCCCATGATGTCGTTGCTGCAGCTGGTCAAGGCCAAATTTCTGTAAAAATGGAAATTTCTTGAGCTCTTGCGTCCTGACTTTGCCTGCTTTCTACAGCCGTGTTTGAAGGACAGCAGCCCTAAATAGAACATACGGGCTTCCTTCCACACTGTGACTACCTGCAAGACGCCTGGATGATGATATCGTTTCCTGGCCTGGGACAAACCATCATATCCGCTCCTTGCAATTACTTCTCCACCTTAGCAGGCCATCCGGCCACTGTTTCACATCATATTTTGATGAATATAAAAGAAAAGAGAACAGAAGCCGGAAGTGGTAGCTTGACATTACTATTGTCACTCCTTTGGTTCCCTCTTTTTGTTTTTTTTTTTTTTTTACAAAAAGGCATATGCCATGACTAGTTGACCTTTTAGGGAACATATATTTTAGCGATGACTCGGATACCATGCCGCTCGACGGCGGCTAGGGGGATTATGCGCCCTCGTCAAACGTTTCCCAAGGCCGCCGTGCGCAAGCACAAGATCATTTTGGAAAGTATCACGCAAGAGAAGAAGAAACTCCGCATTGCGGTATGTGCTGTCTACTCCTAGTGCTCTGAGCGCCCCGTATAGCCGGTTCTAAGTGAATGGTAGATTTCTTTTGAGACCAAACCGCCTCCAGGATACACGTTTATTCCAGCAGGAAACCCGGAGTTCACTAACGGGTGCAAGGAGTTGTGCCGGAAGGATGGATACAAAGTTTACACCGTCTCGGTTCGTGCTCTTTCTTTGGAAGAAATTTCACTCCGTTATATATACCTGGCTGCTGACAGATTGCAATTGTTGTTTTTAGACAACCCCCCATCAACGAGTGCACGATCTTTCTCAACATGTCCATAGGATTGGTTATCATTTCCCTAGTGTTGTGGTGGCTTCAATATGCATGGAACGGGGGTTTTTCCTCTCATCCAGCGGGAGAGTGGTAGCGTATCAAAACCAGCGCCCTGTGCAGATCCAAGGTAACAAAAGTGCAAGCTCGGAGCAGTCACAGGAAACCATCAACGCAGAGGCGAGGGACGCAATTAAAGATTTGTTCCCTAACATCCCTACCAAAGACCTGAACCAGATTGTAAAAACAGCTTTTAAAAAGGTACGCCAGCCATCACGCTTGCGTTCGTTGCTAACTGTAATGTTTAGGGAAAACGTAGAGTTGGGACAGCAACCGAGCTTCCGTTAGCACGCCGGGCTCAGCTAGCAGTAGTGGCTCATATTCGCCATATCTACACTAGCTATGACCGGTTACTAAAAATGACCTCCTTTCAGGAAGCCAGAGCGTCGGTCGAAGAACCCACCCTTGCTAAACTGGTCCTGTGGCGAGGCGATGATGAAAACGGTACAACTGTACTTGAAGATGTTTTCCGTGAAGTCATCGTTATATCTGACGATGAAGACGATGAACGAGATGGTGAAGAGCAGGCGGTGGAATTACCACTGCCACCTCCACAACCTCGCCCTCATCATGATATCCCTAGAGAAAGCATGGAGCTAGTTTCCAGGAATACCACAGAGAGGCAGATTCCACTCAATTATGGAACTCCGAGGGATAGCCATTTTGTTACCCGTTCTTTCGCCCCACAGAATTCCAAACAGAACCCGTCTACTCCCAGCGTGATCACTATTGATACCCCTAGCCAACATTCTGAACGGAGAACCAATGACCACAGAGGGTTCCGCAGGTATGAGGCATGGGACCGAGCAAGAACTCGGTATAGCCATCTTGTAAACGGAGCTGTTACTACCCCTGCTGTGCCAGAACAACGCTCTCCACGATACTCACAAGCCGAACCACGGCAGGGATTCCCCAGCAGGGGGGAAGACCACCGAGTTCGGCTATCGCCATCTATGGATTGTTCAGTTATAAGAGCTACTGATAGTAGAACCAGGAGAGATGTTATTACAGATCATGCCCAACTTGCCAACCCATACACGCCAAGAAGGATCACGGCTTTGAAAGACACAGAGCCTGAGGTAAGGATCTTCAAAATGCTTGCAGTGTATATTTATTTTGTAGTGTGCAGAACTAACGGTAGCGGCAGCGGCACCGCCAACTTCCTGACCATTCCCCTTTCCCGTCAGCCACTGAACGGCCTCAAATAGGCTATGATTACAGACAAAGCCCTGGTGCGTCTTCTAACCTACAGAGAGCGAACCGTATGCAGGCGAGACTCAGCTATCCTCCATCTGGGCTTGCTCACTCTGGGCTGTCGTCGGCGCCTCCCCAGTCCCAAACGGGGTCCCGTCTTGAGTCCCGAGATTACCCCATTATTCCATCGATCGAGAGCCCGATGGCTCCGATCAGCCGGCCGGAGAGGCCGGATAGCATCCCAAGAAACAGCCCAAGGTTGACAATGATGATGCCCGGCTCTCCAGCATCCCAGCATATGAGACCCACTGAGAACGGACCTCCTCCCTCGCAATTAGACAAACATGCAAGGCAGCAGGAAAGACACTGGGATGGCTCCAGGTATTCTCGTGTCGTTGGCACTCCCCAAAGACTGCTGCCCGCCACTGTACGGAATGAAATACCGTCCTACAATAACCATGTATCCCATCTGGATGATCCATCCTGGAGTCCCTTATCTGGAGGCCAGCTCCACCAACACCCGCAGTCCCAACCGCTACAAAGCTTAGAGAACATGACACGCTCTCCGTTACTGGATAGGCCGAGGGTTGTGCGAGTAGCCCAGCCTGGTCAGGCCAACCCTGAGCAGCGATACGTCCACCACCATGTGGGAGAGCATCACAACAGGGAGCGAGGCGTAGTATCATCGTCCTCTCACCAGTCAGCTATGGCTGTGGCTAACCCAGCAGATGCACCAAGAAGGATAGCTTCACGGTATCCGTACCCTGACAACCCAGCAATAGTGATCCGACAGAGACATAGCCTGAATCCCCGTCTGGTCGCCTATCCTACAGATACCGACAAACGTTTGGCACAGGTTCGCGTATATGATCGACCTGTGGAAACTCGGACTTCTGTGGTATGTAATTACAAGGGACAGTCAAATGAAGAAGCGAGACGACCTGACTCCTCCTTATTGATCTACCTTTCTTTCTATTCCACCCTCTGGAGATCTTCCCTACGATACTCTTTTCTCTTTGATCCTCCCTGTCTTGTGTCCCTTGTAATATCCGTGCTGACCAAGTTATATCTTGTAAAGATAAAGCAGACTCAGATGGAGGATGGCCGGCATCATCATCATCATCGCCATCATCATCCAGCAGGGATGACACCTGTGGAAAACCGGGAGCCTGCTCTCACGCAGGGCGACAGTAGCACCAACCGCTATGGCTATGCCTATGTCGAGAAACAGCCTTATACATATATAGTGGACGGTGATCGGCCACCCAGGCCAGCGCCAGAGCCAACAGCAGCAGCTGGGTCCTCCTATCCTAGTGCTGCCTCCGCTTTCCGGTCTTATCGCTCTCCTCCACCGCCGACGTCGATACGCAGCTCCGAGTCGTCGGCCATGACCTCTACGCTCACTCGCACCTGGACCGCGCCCGAGCTGGGCCCTTCAAACGGCCCCATCCGCAGCCAGCAGCCATACACTCACCGGCCGTTCCTATAGCAGTACTTAGTCGCGGTAGTCCGCACATGCATGACGGGGGTGGGTGGCTTGTATGTTTTTGGTTGTATTGAGTGAGCGCACGGCGTTTTCATGCGGGAGCGTGTATATATCGATATCCCTCCTTTTTTTTTACATAAATACGTCATCATCATCATCATCCTCAAGATCATCATCACTGCTGCTGGACTCCCTGTATGAGACGAGCCGTCGCTGCCGGTTCGACCAAGGTTGGGCCGTGGCGTCTGGCTGCATGAACTGCGAGAGAGTAACCAGTGAACTCAACAAACAAAAGAACCAGAAGCCGATCTTCTCAAATCTCGCGATACGAGCTGTCAAATCTCCCAGCGACAACGCAGCCCCCAGTCCGAGGAACAGGGCCAGGACAGGGGGCCTTCGCTGGCAAGTAACAAATGGCAGCACCGCCCGCCAGCCTGGATCGATCGCGGCCGGCATGTGAGACAGACCGGTGGGGGGGGGAGGTCGCTGACCTCGACCTGCTCAGCTCGCCACTCAGCGACTAGATACTCCGACGAGACACGAGAGAGACGAAGGACAGCGAAAAAAAGCCCAGAGTGAGCAGGATGTTGGCAGCGATACGAGGGCAGCCAGCCAGCCAGCCCGGCAGCGCGACGAGAGGGCAGAAGAGCCATCGCCAGCGACGGGTGAACGGCTGCATCGCCCAGCTCCAGCGCAGCGCCCAGTCGCCAGCGCCCGCCGTTGACGTCGTTTGGCTCGCCATCGCCATCGCCATCGCCATCGCCATCGCCAACGCCAACGCCAACGCCAACGCCGTCGGTTCGCTGTCGCCCTCGGTACCTTGTCCTCGTCTTTGCGTCTCGTCTCGAGCTTTGCTTCGCGCGCAATCCTTCAACGTTCGTTCCAACGCCCTCTGCAAAAAGCTTCGCTTCGCTGCCAGGGGACCACCGTCTCCGCCCTTGCGCCAGGGCTCATCCTGACAAGCGCGAGACTTCCCATGGATCCTCCCCACCGCGCCACCAGACAGGCGAACCAGGGCCGAGAAAAGACCCTGTTGCGGTGGAGGGGAGGAGGGGGGAGCCCTTCTCGAGGCGACTATCTCATTGATTCAACCAACGCTTCTCCTGGGCCGGCGGCGGCGGCGTCGTCGTCGTCGCCGGTCGTCTTCATGGGATATGCACGCAACGAGCGACGGGGGGTGGAGCTTCTCTTCTGCGCTGGAGCTGCTCCTCTCTGGCTGTCGGTCGGATTGGGATGTTTGCCCCGAGTCCGCTGGACGGGGATGTTGCTCTTTTCTGTCTCTTGTGGCCGCGATGGAGACGTCAAGCCATGAGCCGTGAGCCGTGAGCCAGCGTTGAGAGCCATGAGGCAGAGAAAAGGCGACGAACCAGAGACCGAACAAGGACAGACGACAACATACTTACGGAGTACATTAATATTAGACAAGACAAGACAAGAGAGAGAAAACGTCAGATACGATCTGCTTCTGGGATGCAGGGACTCTGGGCCTGGGACGGAGCTCTCTCAACAGTCTCCTCCAATCTCGATCCATCCCTGCTCGCTGCGAGGGAGTTGTGTCCATTCATCGGTTCAACTATAGTCATCCCAAGCTTGCTACCGAGCAAGACTTACTTGCATACCCTGGTTCCATCCGGCCCGCCCCTCTGGCTTTTGTCTTTCTTCTTCTTCTTCTTCTTTTCGCTGCCCACCCTCCTGTGCATCTCTCTCTTCTGCCTCTTGTTCCTCTCTCCTATCTGTCTCCAAGGACTGGCGGGGGGCGAGCTTGGGTCCTGCGCGGTATCGTTTCAGAAGAACCGCCATCCTCTTCGATCGTGGAGTTGAGCTTCTTAGCCGAACCAGACATCCAAAAACTCCGACTGAAACTGCGTTGGATCCTCTCCGCTTCCGTCCCACTGCCAATAGCCGCAAGAGCCAGAGAAGCTGCAGAGATTGCAGAGACTGCTGAGATAGAGGTACAGGTTCGATCGCCTGGTTCTAGAGCTTGCTTTTCGTTTCTTGGGACGGGGTCGTGGGTTGGCATAAGAAAGATATATCTCCAGATTTGACCTCTCCCTCCTCCTTAAACTGCCATTATTCTTAAGACGATATCCATATTGGCATATAACATGCTTCTTATGACGCACCCCTGACCGGCCTGAATATCCATCCTCCGAAGGCTTTTTCTCACTCTTCTCTGGCCATTGTGCAGTCCATCCTTCTCATATATCTATATATATCTATATATATCTATATATCCATATCTATATCTGCTATCTACATACTCTTCCAGCCATGGTTAGGCATGGGCCCGACCTCGAGTCGCTGGTGGTTGTATACCAATCCTTCCATCCCGAGTTTATCTTCTTATCGTACATTGTGAGCTTCGTTGGCTGTGCGACATGTCTCGAGCTGCTGCATCGGCGGACAGCTCGTATCGGGCTCTATAACTGGTAAGCCTCGTCAATTGTCATTTCTCCTGCTGGAGCGAGGAGGACTACCTGAATTGGCACTGCAATTGCTAAAACCGCTATGATCTCTCTAGGTACCTGCTCATCACTGCTGCCGTGTGCATGGGAGGCATTGGGATATGGTGCATGCACTTCATCGGAAACTGCGCCATCCGGCTGCATAGGGGCGACCTGCAGTACCAGATATCGTACTCCTCCTCCTTCACTGTGACCTCCTTCTTCCTGCCGATAGTTGTGCTTTTGTTCGCCTTCTACTTCATCGGCGCCAGTGAACGGGCCGGCTACTGGTACATCATCGCCACCGGGACCCTGACAGGACTGGCTGTCTGTGGCATGCACTACGTCGGCCAGCTTGGAATCGCAAACTACTCGTGCACCTACCATGTTGGAAACGTTGTCGGTGCAGCTGTCATTGCCATCTGCGCCAGTATCACTGCCCTGGGAGTGTTCTTCAGACTCAGGGCGTCATGGACAGACAATTGGTGGAAACGGCTCTTCTGCGCGCTGATTCTGGCCAGCGCCGTGTCTGGCATGCATTGGACTGCCGCCGTTGGGACCATCTATCGAGTGTCGAATGCTGACGGTACAAGTGTACAGCTCTTCTCCTCCTCACAGGCCGTCATAATCTGCTGCACACTGGTATGCGTTTGAAACTTGTTCTTCCTCTCAGCTCGACCTGTATTTGTATATCATTTACTAACGACGTGTGTATAGTCACTAAGCTCGTGCTTTTTCCTGATCTGTCTGGCCGTGGTTGCTGGTCGCCAGCGCAAGAGAATGGCAAAGAGAGTCCAGCAGCTCTCCCTTGCCTGTGCCTACTTCGATTCCTCTGGAAGTGTCATGGTAGCCCCAGACGGGAGCATCCCAACTCATAAAATAACCAATCACTATGTTGAACGAGTATGTCTTCACTTTACTTTTTTTTTTTTCCAGCTTAACCTGCCTGCAATTCTGCCGTCCATTACTGACCAGGTTACCTTCTCTGCCAGAGCTTCGCGGATGACGAATTTAACAGAGTGCATCCGGCATTCCTCTGGGCATTCAGAGCAAGCCGAAACTGGGCGCATCTAAAACAGTTCATACGAGGCATGAACTACAATATCAAGTCTGATGAATCAATGAAGCAATACTTCCCGGGCTCCACCACTACCCCGGACACCGGCGACACCAACATCAACTTCGAACTCATCTTCAAGCAGCTGTTCTGTATAGCCGCCCAGGGCCTCTCGGACCAGCTGCATCTGCCGCTGGAGAAGCTGGGAGTGCTCTATGATGACGTTGTGTTAACCGGAACCCAGTCAACAAAGCCCAGCAAATACCGCGCTGGTGACCCTGAGGCTGCGCCCACGCCAACGACCATAGTAGGCAAGGGCCAGTGTATATTCATAGTGCGCCAGCTCAGCAAGCAGGAGACCATCGACCTCTCTATGAGCGGGTACCGTTTCGCTGCTCCCAATCACATTTCCGGTGCTCTGGCCAGACTAATGCAGGTAGAGCCGAGGGATATGCTGGACAACCTGACGCGGATGAGAGACTACTCCGCGCCCGAGAAGATGCTCGATCCGGGTGTCTACCTGGTGGGATTCTCGCTCTACCCTTCTGTCTGGACTGGTTTTGACGTGCTTGTATACGACGACGCGCCAAACCTGCTCCCCAATGTGCGGTTACCCATCGAGTCGGTGACACAGCAACACCTAGACATATTATCGCGGATGGATGGATGGCCGCTGTCCCTCTGCTTGAAGTGGCTCAAGGCAAACGGCGGCTTCGAAGACCCCGAGGCCCAGACGTTCTGCCAAGCCGTATATGGCGCGGCATCGAATCTCTCTGCCTCGGTCGACAGCCCGACGTTTGGCCAGGCCAAGTTCTCGTCTCGACAGATCAACATCCCCTGCCGGTCACCGGGCCACGCAGAGGCAACAGGCCAGTGTACAGCATTCTCCTTCCACATCATAAACGGGCTACTGACGCGGACGACACCGCCACATCTACGTCTTACTCCTCTGCGGCTGTTCAACGTGCAGCAGCAAGTATACCCAGGCATTCCGGACCACGCAGTGTTCCAGGATAACCTACGGGACGAATTCGGACACTGTTTGTATGATGACGACCTCAAGGGCCGCAGATCGCCCATCCCCCCTTCGACGGCTCAGTCCATGTCTCTACGGGCCAACTCCCTGATCCATCCGGGGGACGACCAGAAGAAGAGCAACAGGCATTCAGGCAACAGGCAGTCAGATACCTGGCGGCCCACCAACGGCGGCATCATGATCCGCAACCAGATCACAGTGGACGTGTCGCAGAAGGAGGAGCCAAAGCCGTCCAGCGCGGGAGCCTTTGAGATGCAGAGTGTCGGGGCGACCGTTGAAGCAGGCTACGTCAAGGACGACAATGAAACCTTTGTCGACGAGCTGTGTGCCATCTGCCGAAAGGCAGCTGCCGAGCAGGACAGGAACAGCTAGCTGCGGAGACCGCTCCTTGACTTGTTGATCCTTCTTCCCCTTTTCCTACTGTACATTTTTAATTTAGATGGCACAGTTGATGCCATAGAGACGTATACATACATCTATGTACATAAAGAATATATATATATATATATATTAATATAATGAACCCGAGACTACAGAGCCGAGCCCCCTCTCGGCTGCATCGTCATGCATCTGCATATCACCTCTCCGTTCTCCATGTGTGATTACAGTAGATTAACGGGCTCCGTATCTTGAGACAGGCCTTCCTTGTTGCTACAAGCTTCTCTGTATATAGGGCTTAAAAAGAAACGAAGAAGAAAAAGAAAAGACAAGGGAAAAAGAAAGCAGCAAGGTAGAACTAAAGTTCTCCGTATGCTCGTTAATTTAAAAAATAAAGGAAGACGACGAAGAAGAAAATATCGCATCGTCATCCCAGCGCATTCTCGGTATGATGATGGCCCTACGCAGATCCGTGTTTTGGAAAAGCCTGCTGAGTACTCCGTACTGTGACGAGGTTCCTGGGTAGTCTGTAAATCAACGCACGGCGTGAAGACTTCCCTCCCACTGCTGCAGCCAGCCCTGCCCCGCGGCCAGATGTTTCAGCCCTGGGGGACGGCTTCAAACAGCCATCTCGACGCCGTCGGCCTCGCCCTTGGTGACCGCCTTGCCGGTCTTCTTGATGACGGCCAGGACATCCTCGTAGGAAACAGAGGGCTCGGTAATGACCTGGGCGGTTTGCGCATCGAGGCTGACCTCGAACGACTTGACGCCTGCATTCAGAGAGTCAGTCAGCATGGCCACCTCTCTCAATGCTCAGGCGGGGAGACGACAAAAAAAAAAAAAAAAAAAAAAAAGACACAACGAAGAACCAAGGCATTCGTACCATCCAGCTTCTTGAGCACACGCTCGACGGCACCGGAGCAGCCGCCGCAGCTCATCTTGATGTTGAAGTTGTATGTGTGGTCTGCCATGGTGGCTGGCTGGTCGTAATCTCGGCTATGTCTCGAGCGCAAAAGGAGCTCCAACCCTGGCGCGAGATCGGTCTCGGAGTCTGTCTCTTGTCTAACAAGCGCAGGAAGAGGCTAGCGGGCAGACTTCTCTCTCCTTCTCTCGTCTTCTCTCTCGTCTTGTTTGGTCCTGTCGAAGGGGGGGAGGTTTTGTATCGCGAGCAGGGCGGCGGCGGAGTGGCGCAAAAAAGAAACGAGCCAAGTGACTCCGGCCACTGCAGCGCTGACTACGGAGTACTGCGGCCGCGTCCTGGTGACGGTGATACCACTGCTGGGGGACTAGCTGCGACGGCTGGCGACCTGCTGACCTCTGCTGCTCGATCTAGGTAGCCAACTATCCTGCGTCCTGCGTCCTGCGTCCTGCGTCTTGTATCTTCAATTTCTCTTGTCGTTCTCGCTCGCCCAAACCAAAAAAGCAACCAAAAAAGCCTCGCGATGACGTCCTGGCTTAGTCAGCAGGGCTTATCTCGCTCGCCCACCTGAAACACCGCGAGAGGCGAAAAAAGCGACCAGCCAGGAGGACGAACGCTCGCCCGTCTTGCGCTCGTCTGTTCTCTGTTCTCTGCTCTCTGCTCTCTGCTCTCTGCTCTCTGCTGCTGGGCTGCAGGTTCATGCTGCAAGACAACCGGCAGACCAGGCAACTCTCCCCCCCTCCAGGACAGACACGATGGCCTGTCCTGACGACGTCGACGCGCACAGCACCGCTCCAGCGCCCGTCTCTATACCCGGAGACCGCCCCCAGGACATCGAGATGGCCGCAGACGACTCAGCCGCCAGACATGCCCTTCCTCCCCGTCTCGCAGCGCGGTTCAACCGGGTCTCCGCCACCTACAGACGTGCCTCCTTACCCTCCATCTCCCGTCGCAACTCGGCCTCGTCGATACACTCGAATCTGACGGTCCACGGAGCTCCCCATGGCGACCCCATGGCCCCCCATATCCGTCGAAACCTGATACTGGAATCTCGCAAGGCTCGTCTGGCAGACAGGGCCGCTCACGTCGAGAAGGTCAGGCTGCGTGCGGCCCTGGCGAAGAACGGCACCAAAACCGCAGCGATCAAGGAGGAGAGAGCCCGGGCTGCGCAGAAGACCCGGGAGAGACTGCTGGCTGATATCACAGCAAAGTGTGAGGAAGAGGTTCGCCGCGCAAAGAAGAAGGCAGAGGACACCGAAGAGAGAAAGGCAGCCCAGCGTGCCAGACTCCGTCTTGAGATGGTCGAGAAGTTCGCCGAGGCTGAAAGACGCAGACAGCTCTACCAGGAGACCCCCCGTCGACGCCGTACTTCTAGCATCCCGACTGTCCCGGCTGCGCCGGCTGCGGAAGGGATAAGGGTCACCAGCCCTGGTGGCGGCCATACCAAGCCAGCAGCCATAAGACTCACCCCGTCTGCGGCCGCCCATGTTATCCAAAGGGTATGGAGAAACCATCGCTCACGAGTCCTGGTTGGAAAGTACCTGGGGCTGAATCTCACTCTCGAAAGGATCGGGTTACTAGGCTTCGAGAGGACCGGAGCTCTGGTGGCCAGTGAGACCACTCTTGATGTGACCGCGGCCATGCTTCGGCTCTGCGGCCTGCAGGATACCCAGGGAGGTGCTCTCGGCGAAAGAGGTGCCGTCCGCATCTTTCTCAGCAGTTACGTCATTGCAGCCTTTCCAGAGCACGTCCTGAGCAGCGATGGGGAGCAGGAACAGGACCTGATCGCCAAAGCCAGGGAGCTGCTTGTTATCTTTCAAAACCTGCTTGATAAGATCGCAGTACGTGGCTTGACCAACGTCTCGTTGTCTCCCAACATGCTCTCCTTGTCAGAGGCCTACAATATGTTTGTCTCTGCCTTCCACGCCTGGAAATCTCGTGATTCCACCGTGCTCATCGAGATCATGGTTGCTCAGTTTACAGAGCTTGAGCTCATCTGGCAGACGGTCAAGAATGATCGGGCAGGAGGTGTTGCAGATGACTACCAGCAAGGCATCCGGTACAACCAGACCTTGCTCCTTGCGAGGCTGAAACGCCTCGTTGGATCCGAGAAGGCTATGAAACTGATCAAAAAGTCCCTGAAGAAAGCCAAAAGCACTAAACAGGCCAATGTAGCCACCGAGAATACCATCCCCAGGGCGGTCGACAAACCGTCGGCTTCGGCCGAGGCACTGACGGAGTCATCGAAGCCACCGTTCGAAGAAATGCTTCACTACGCAACCGCTAACTTACCAGAATCCCGCCTCGAGGAAGAATCAATCTCTCCCCAGGACCGGCTAACTAGGGTTCTGACTGCTCTCCCTAACAACCGAACACTAGTCCACGAACTCCTGATCAACAGAGACTACCGCATCGAACAGGACCACTATACCCGAGTCCGTCGACAGATCATGAATCATGTTTGTGATATAATGAGAAGAGAAGTTGCCGCTGGCTACGGCACAAAGTGGACTGTTGCTTTAGCCACAGTCATCCAAGACAGACTACTACGTTTCCTCAAGCAGGGAAATTCATTGCATAATCTGATTACCGAAGTACTTGATCCTGCCCATATTGAAAAACAGTGCAATTCAGGCACCTTTTCATATGACACCTTCTTTGATTTTATGGGGAATATCCTTTCAAAACTGTGTGCTCCATTTCGAGATGCCGTTGTTGAAGAGTTTGCAAAGGACAAGTCGGGAGACGAAATCGACCGTCTTTCACGGCTGATGGGGATAATCGATCTACTCTCACTGGATCACACCAACTTCATGCTCCAGGTGGTGTCGCCCCAGTTAATCGAAGAAGCACCCCAATACGAACAACGGATGTTTGAAAGGGATCTACAGAATGGGTCCATTACACTTGACAGTACTAGAGAGTTCTGGAAGTCAAATCTTAGCATGTTTGGTGCTACCGACTCACAGCCAATCATGGGGAAGATCTACGCTCAGGGAATGGTTGATCTTGTGCTGAGCAACACAATCACTTCCCAAAGACGTATTCCTGAGACTCTCCATGCTGACTATGCTAGGCTTGGACAGCTCCGATCTCAAGGCTTCAAGATTGCCGCAACTGCTTCAATATTGCTTACTGCAAAAAATCTCCTGAAACGCGATGTGCGATCTCAATGGAAGAGCGAGGCAGATCGGATTTTATCCCTAGACTGGCATGATATCAAGGCTGAGCGTATTCAATCAATCATCGACTCCACTCATCCGATGCCCACAGCGGCCAGGTCCCAGCTCTTGAGCACAATAAAGCGTGTGGTTGGCCCAGCTCTGGTCGCAGCAAATGCAGCGTCTGCGCTTGCGCCTCCTAGTTTATCCGTCACCACAACATTCCAGTCTTTCACTGTTAGGCCGTCCCCCAGCCCATCAGACGCTGGCTCTGATGCCTCGGGCAACCCCGCATCCTTCACAGATCCGGTGGCTCGACTCATGCTTACTAGACTTCGATCTCATATTCTAGCTCGTTTGAGTGCCACAAACACCAGAGAACGAGTGAAGATGACCACCACTGCAAGCCAAGGACTTGCCAGTGCCGGAATGCCTGAGTTTGTTAGTGAAGTGGGCAAAATCGTGGAAACTCTTGACAAAGTCCGTGAGGTTGACTGGTTGTGTCATGGACTTGTCCACGAGAAGATCTGGCATGAGATCTCCTCCAGTGCCTGACGGGACTACTTTCTCTCTCTCTTTCACTTTCTTCTGCTTGGATATTTCCTACATTCCTTTCCCCTTTTTTTCCTTATGTCCTCTAAACCCATTTCTTTTGGCCTAGACACAAGGAGTTGTATTTTTAGTGTCGTTTGGTTCAAGGTCATATATATCATCCCGAATGGCTGCGAAGCTATAACTATACTAACCCTCTGCTAATTACTACACCTGTGTGGCTTTTCCTATCAAGTCTCCCTATTGGCCCAGGCCCAGAGATTGTTTTCATTTCTCTCCTTTTCTCTCTCTTAACTATATAGCAAATTGCTGAACATGGTCGATATCAACCTATATGATTGTAAAATCGTGATTATGTAATAACTGGCTAAGAAGGTTGATGTCACATGTTGCTTAACTATTTTTAAGCGTGAGGTCGTACCTTGGTCAAATTAGTTAACAGCTTTCAAGGGGCATTCAAGAAGAGTAGCAAGATAAACCCCAACGGAACAACACAGCACCAGGGCTTGATCGATATCCGCTTGCTGCGCAAAAGCTAGAGAGTTGAGTGTCCTTGGACACAAGAAGTCTTTATGGAATACTCTACCTAAACCGTCATGGATGCGACCCGGATGTGGAATGGGGAGAATGGTCGCAAAACACCGTGATATCCTCTTTGCATGTGTGGGTGGCTTTGTCGCATGGGGAGTCATAACAAGCTGGTATCCATTGATACGCTTTATCGGATACTCGTTTCTATTAGGGGCAGCCGCTACTTTGACCTCTCTCGTTGTGATTCTCATCATTAGTGTTAAGCGTCCTTGTTACGGCTCCGGCTCTTCGAGACTATGTGGCCAACCCGTGGCCTTCCTATCTCCCGATAACTGGAAGCAAGATTTGGAAGACTACAAAGACAACACCAGCTACCAACCTACGCCCCTTTATCCGCAGTCGTTTATCGTTTCCGCGGCGCTGGATGAGTTGTTGAATTTAATCAGGAGGGATTTCATTGAGACCTGGTACCAGCACATCAGCAGCAACCCCGGTTTTGCTGACGAGATTGATTCTATAGTGAGGGAAACAGTTGGGCGCATAAGAGATTGGCTGTCGAAAGAGGATTTCGTGGAAATATTTGTCGCGAGGATCGTTCCTATCTTCACCAGCCATTTGAAAGACGTCGACCTCGCAGAACGAGCCGTGAGAGGCAGAAATCTGAACCATGGAGTGACGGAATCTGAGGAGCTGGAGATAGCGATTGCTGCTAGATATCGAGAAGGGAATCTTCATCCGGCTGCTGCGAGATCTTCGCCAGACGTGGCGCATGTGCAACAGGAACACTTGCGAAAGATCGTAGTGGCTCTTTTGCCCACAATTCTACCTGAAAGCCAAGCAAACAGTAGGGCGGTGTTAGTTCTCATCCGAGAAATTATAGCATGCGCCATTTTATTTCCTTTAATTGGCGTCCTCGCGGATCCGGATACATGGAACCAGCTGATGGAAGCCTATGGCCGAACAGCCCTCCAGGACCGCAAAACCGTCAGGAGACTACGTGAGGCACTAGATCAACATGCCTTACCTCTAGCAAAGTCCAAACAAGGACTCATGTTCCCAAAACTAGGTCCAAATGACTCCGAAAGGGAATTTGAACGTTTCGTGAGGGGCATCCGTCGGTGTAATAACTTATCTGACGCGAGGAGATTTAGGAACAATGTTGCCAGCCAACTCAAGCGTGAAACAATGTTTGATGGACACGATCCAATTTATATCCGGCGTCTAGAAACAGCAAAGAGGGCTTTGGACCAGAAAGTTGCAAAGCTATCCACTCCAAACGGTGCCGGAAATGCCCATCCATCCATGTCGGATCAGGCATACCAAAACGCTCCGAGGCCGCAGGACATCTCCTTGGTCGATGTTCTGCATAATGCGGCGGGCCTGTCGTATTTCATGGAATATATGGACCGTCTGGGCCTCATGTCCTTGGTTCAATTTTGGCTAGTGGTAGATGGATTCAGAAACCCGCTAGAGAACGATGTGGGAGATGATTTGACATCTGCACCTTCGTCTTGGACCACTGCAGACAGGAATGACATGATTTTGATAAGTGAGAACCACTTGTCAAAACCGGAGCTGAAAGTTGATGAAGAATCTCAGAAGACTGTTAAAAGCTTCATTTTAGCTGGTAAGCGGGCGACGCCAGAGCAATACTGGAAGGCAAGGAAGGCGGTTCTAGCAGCTCAGTCAACAGTCCTCGAGAGCATGAAGTCCAAGTATTATCCCGGGTTCAAGAAATCAGACCTCTATTACAAGTACCTGGCTTCAGATGAGGCAGCTGCTACGACCAGTATTGCATCCCCTTATAAACAACCAAATAAGCCAACCCTGGCCCGGTCTCACACCTCAGGGAATTACCCACCATCCGGGGTATCTTCACCCATGCTTCGAACCGACTCTCAGTCTAGCACAAAACAAGAATTGCGCCGGAAACATTCACTATTCAGCTCTGAGACACTTGATACTGGGCGACCTGCAGACCCTGACCACTTACCACTTTTTGGTGACGATGTTGAGCCAGAAAACCTAGAGTCATCCACCTACAGTCTTGGTAAAGATTCTCAAAGCGGAGAGGCAGAGGTGCAAGAAAAAAAGATCCTGGAAAATATGGAGGCTGCTCTCAATGATATCATCTCGGACACCCCAAATGACTTCAAGGCCGATGGCCCAAGGAGTAGCTTACCATCACCGTCGCCCAGAGCCTCGATTGATATGGGCCGTATGGACGGGCAGGCAGCCGAGAAGGGGAAACCCAGCATATCGTCTCTGGGCCTGGTTAATACATCTTCACGTATTGGAGTTTTTACCGACGATGATTTATTTCCTGATCAAGAAAAATTCATTGAAGATGAATATGCAGATCCAGACGTGCCTGAACCCGATATACCCATAGAAGAAGAAATTCATGAGGCAGCACCGGGAGACTTGGGCCTTACAGAAGCAATATCCGCTTTGACAGCCGATATAGAGAAGCTTGTTTCGCAGGAGTCCGTGATTGACTCCCTCACCAGAAAAGCTGAATTGACAAACAACGTGGCTGAACTGCGTATTTTAGGGAAATCCAAATCTAGCTTAAGAAGGGAGATTAGGCGTAAAGAAATGCAGAGGCAGCAGTACATCGTGCAAGAAAGCGATAACAGTTTATACGGACGGTCGACCGTTCAGATTCCGTCAATCCTTCTCGACAAAGAGCCAGATGGCCGCGAGTATGCTTTATGTGAGTTGTATCTTGCTTGTTAGTATTGTAATAGCTCGCCCCTTCTGACTTGTAGCTCCTTTTCTTTTTTAGATGTGATTGAAGTGAAGCGACAGGCGGGTGAACAGATGCCGGTGGCATCATGGGCAGTTCCTCGAAGATACAGCGAGTTTCACGAGTTACACCAACGGCTTCGAGCAAGATATCCTTCCGTGAGGAACCTTGAGTTTCCACGACGGCGTATGGTAATGAAGCTCCACAAAGATGTCCTCAACAAGCGTCGAGTTGCATTGGAAGCATACCTGAAGCAGATCCTGCTTCTACCTGATGTATGCGGCAGCCATGATCTCCGTGCATTCTTGTCTCAGCGAGCGATTGCACCTACTCGAGAAGAGTCTGGGGATGGGGAAACTAGGGATATAGTCACTCGGCTTTATAATTCGGTGGCGGACGGTATGGATGATTTCCTTGGAAACATCGCTGTGCTTGACCAGCTCTCTACAGCTGGACAGAACCTCATTTCTGCTGCAACGAACCAGCTGAGTGCCTCTCAAGCTGCAGGACTGGGCCTTGATGAGGCTACCACTTCGGCAGAAGCAGAGGCGGAGCTAAACGCATTTGAAGACCGAGAGCTAGAACCCTTTATCAAGCCAATCTGTGATATATTCCTGGAGATATTTGAGCTGACAAGAGGTAACAACTGGCTTCGTGGAAGGGCGGCTGTTGTTGTGCTGCACCAGCTGCTCGGGGGAACGATCGAGCGTAAAGTACGAGAGAACGTTAAGTCACTGCTACAAGATTCGTCTTTACTACACTATATTGGGCTTATAAGGGATACCATGTGGCCGGACGGGAAGCTTTGTGGGGTCAAGGTTCGGACAAGCTCGGAGAAGATGAAGAGCCGGACAGAAGCGGGTGTGATGTTAGCTACGTTGATACCAGAAATGGCAGCGGGTGTCGCTGGACGGGCAAATGCACAGGCTGCTGCCAGACGGATATTTTCTACGCTGAACAATCCACGGCTGAACCTACATCTTGTTTATACCATACTTGATGAGATTCTTCTCATTTTAAATGGGAGATGAAATGTGTGTTATAAATATACGTGTGTATCAACAGACCGTTTAAGAGGGAGACTAAAAGTGGGAAGAGAAGTATCATAGAAAGAAGAGAGTTTCGAATTAACTCAATACGATGACTTGACGCCCCTTGTGACAGAGAGTATCTAATGCCAGTTTGCTAGCCATACATAATGAAGACGACCCATGAATCACGATGAATCACGAATAACGGCGACAGCTGAATTAATTGGGGGAGCACAGCTCCTACTCGGCGGCGGCACCCTTCTTTTTGCTCTTCTTGGGTGGTGGTGCGCCTTCCTTCTTTTGATGTACAATGAGTCTTGTCCATGACTCCTCTTTGTCCCACTCGAATCCAGCTAGGATGGGGTTATCTAGTTCGTCATCGGCCTAGAAAGAGGGTTTAACAACAGATCTCTCATACGGGTGGCTAGAAGCTTACCTTCTTTCTGAATTGCTTGTAGATAGCATCGAGGGCATCCTTGATAGTTACGCCCTTGAGATTTCGGGCAGTGACCTCAAGGCCAAGTGGGAAGTGTAGGTCAATCTTCTTGACGGGGGGTGTGGTGAGGAACTTCTTGAGGGCATCCTTGTCCTCCAGGGACGAAGGTGAGGTGTTGAGCTTCCTGTATGTCTTGGTCAGCACCACGCGGGCCACCCGTACATAGTATAGCTATCAACTTTTAAATGCACACAAAGAAAGATGACCTTCTTACCAGTTGAGCTTCTGTGTTTCTATGGCTATTTGGAGCTCGATCCCTTTTTCTTCTGCACGGTTGAAGCAGAGAAACATAAGCAACGCTATCCCTGGACCTAGGGGGTGGATGTGTTATGGAAGATGGGTGACATACCTAGGTCTTTGATGTTCATGACATCAGGGTTTGCACCCTTCTTCGTCGTCTCTTTCTTCTTGCTCTCTGCTGACGGGGGAAGGCCGGCAACGGCGGAGTCGACCTTGGTGAGGGTAGCCATGATGGATAGAGGGATCGAGATAGGGAGAGGTAGAGATCGTGCTGGAGTTGAATGCCTGGCCCGGCTATATGTTAGTGATGGAACGAGGCCACGAAACCAACGCTCGGGGCAGAGAAGAGAGAGAGAGAGAGACGGCTGGATGATACCAATGGAGGCCTTGTGCGGTGCTGTAATTGAGGCGAGCCTGAGAGGACGCGATGCTGTGACGTTGAGAGTGTTGTCGTTGTCGTTGGCGTTGTTGTAGCTGCTGTGCTGGCAGAGCAGGAAGAAGAAGAAGAAGAAGACAAGGAGAAGAGGCAGAAAGGGGAGAAAGCGGGGTAGTTTATATACAAAGCAGCTACGCAACCGGCCGTCCGAAAGGGGAAAGGGAGCAGGCCGGTACCTCAGCAGGACCTCGCGCTGCCGCCAGCCGCCGCCGCTGGCGCAAAGTACCGCGCAAGTACCGCGCAGGTCACGCTCTTGCCTGGGGGGACGCCGGCCGCAAAGTCACCTGAGCTGGCGTCACACCATCCGGAGCTTAAGCATGCCTAGGCCGTCGCTGGGGGTAGGCCTACCTGGGTGCCTATAAGTTGTCTTGATAGTCTTGCGCTGCCTTGCTCCGGGGGAACGCGGCCTTGTCTCTCCTGCAGCCGGTCTCACCCAACATCTGCACCCGGCCCCGTTTGATACGACGCCCAAGTTAGGCTACGCATCGTGCTCGCAGCCATCGCCCGTCGTGATGGCTAGCTACAGCTTGCTCCCTGCCTTTGGGGGGGCAGCTCCTCGCGCATGGCCTGATCTGTGGCATGATGCTGCCTCTCGCCCTCGCTCGCCCTGCCGCTGCATAATTAGCTGTCGTCTGTTATGATGCCATGATGGAGCAGGGATGCGCAGATTACATAAGTAGCGGCATGCACCCCGCATCCCGCTTGCCCCGAAGCGGAAATTCGGCGGACGACCCGGTGGAGCGCTCCACCTTTTGTCCGCTTCGAGCTTCACGTGATTTAAAGATGACTAAATGATTATTTAATATGGAATCACGTGGTAAATTAGTCAGCTTTGCGTAATCCTCGAGCTTCTTTTTTTCTTTCTCCCTTCGACGTTGAAGTTGGAATGACATACAAAACAGTCTAAATCTCAGCTGCAGCTCAGTTGGTTGAACGCGCTGCACCGAGGGAAGGAGGATTCCGGCTCTGCCTACTACTAGTGCTTTGCATTGGGCTTCGTTTACCGGCGCGTTCTTTGTTCCCTTTCCTTCCGAGACCTAGAGTGTTTTGATTTTTGATTTCCTCTTACGATACGCTACAATGACGGGCCTGTTTGGCAACATCTCCTCGAATACTACCGCAGCGACCTCCACAACAACGGGCGATATCTCAAAAGACGTAGCCCTGGTTGCACCGCCAGAGGATAGCATTTCAGACCTAGCCTTCTCCAGCCAGAGCGACCACCTAGCCGTTGCATCATGGGACAAGAAAGTGCGCATCTACGAGATCAATGAGCAGGGGATGAGCGAAGGAAAGGCCATGTTCGAACATCAGGCACCCGTTCTTAATTGCTGCTGGTCCCCGGTACGTTCTGGAGGGTAACCCGCCGTTCAAGGCATATATATCCAGCTGTACATACTAACCGTTCCCTTAGGATGGCTCAAAAGTGGTCGGTGTCGGAGTAGACAAAGCTGCCCGTATGCTTGACCTTCAGGGTAACCCTACCACTCCTGTCCAGGTCGCTGCTCATGACGCGCCCATCCGAAGCTGCTGCATGATTCAAAACCCGGGAAACTCGGCTCAGCCGCTCCTCGTCACTGGCTCGTGGGATAAAACCGTTAAATACTGGGACCTAAGGCAGTCTACCCCAATTGGGACTCTACAGTGCCAGGAGAGAGTCTACTCCATGGACGTTAGCAAAACTCTACTTGTTGTTGCGACGGCCGACAGGTATATCAACATCATCGACCTCAATCAACCAACGAATATCTACAAAGTCATGCAGTCTCCACTCAAGTGGCAGACACGGGTTGTGAGCTGCTTTACCGATGGAACCGGGTTCGCTATAGGAAGTATCGAAGGCCGATGCGCCATTCAATATGTTGAGGAAAAAGACTCGAGCTCGAATTTCAGCTTCAAATGCCACCGTGAAACTCCCCAGGGCCAATCAAACGTGAGCAACGTTTATTCTGTCAACTCTATTGCTTTCCATCCTCAACACGGCACATTCAGCACTGCTGGGAGTGACGGAACCTTCCACTTCTGGGATAAAGACGCAAAACATCGTCTCAAGGGTTATCCATCCGTCGGAGGCACCATATCCACCTCAACATTCAACAGAAACGGTAATATTTTTGCGTACGCCGTTAGCTATGACTGGAGCAAAGGTTATACTGGCAACACCCCCCAGACATTAAACAAAGTCATGATGCACCCAGTCACGCCGGAGGAAGTAAAACCAAGAGCAACATCGGCAAATGCACGAAGGAACAGATAATCCCATTTTGTTTGCTTTCATACTTCTCCCTCAAGCATCCCCCTTTGACCGTGATCTCACCTACATACTCCGTAGTTTCCCCCTCTGTTCTAATGAAAATGACGAACATCATGTACCTCTCTTGTAAAGCGCAAAAACATCAAACCAACATCCCTATGATAATTACAACTACTTCTACCTTACTGATCTCGGAAACAAGACTTGGGGTGCATTTACACATGTCCTTTAAAGAAACGTCTAATAATAGACTGGTCTGACTTGCTATAAGCTAGAAACTAAAAAAAGATTTCTAATCCATCTGCTGCTCAGGACGTTGGTAATGTCACCTGAGAAACACCCTCAGCAACCTCCTCCACGGCCTTGTCGCCAGTTGAAGCTGCTACAGCATCCGCTCCATCCTTGGTTGACGCCTCTACAGGGCCTTCACTACTGGTAGCTTCGTTAGTTTTGGATTTCTGCTGCTTCTTCTTGGTCTTTGCAGCCTTCTTTGCCGCCTGCTTTGCCTTCTCTTCCTCCTTTTTCTGTCGCTCAGCTTGAGACCCGCCAAACATTTCCCTCCACTCGTCGGCCTTTTTGACATCGATGTTGCTGAAAAGGTACTTCGCCTTACCAACGCGGTGGCCAGGCTTGATAGCTGTAGGCTTCCACCCATCTTTGATGTCATCGAGGCTTGGTATTAGCCCAGCCGGGGCGTTCAACTGGTCAAGGATAGAAGCGGAAGTCGCAGGGAGATATGGACAGAATACGCTCGAACAAAGATGAATCAAATTGACCACAATGCCAACTACCGCTGCGGCACGTTCCGGTTCATTCGCAATAAGTGAATTATCAAGCTTATTAGCCTGGATTAGGCCATTTCCTGCCTCGGCAATCTTCATGGCTGTAACAATGCCAGCACGCAGGTGAACCCCTTCCATTTCATTGATGTATTGGCGTAGAAGGCTGGTTACTTCCTCAAGAGCTGGATAGAAAGGCTCAGAGACAGTGAATTCCGGGATAACGGAGCTGTATGCCTTTGGACTAGCAACCAGCTTAACAACTCGGTTAACCAGGTTACCAAGTTTCGCAAGTAACTCTCCGTTATTACTGTCGATAAAAGACTTCCATTCAAATTGTGTATCTCCGGTTTCTGGGCGATTCTTAAGTAGGTAGTATCTCCACACATCTGATGAGACTCCTGTTTCCTTTGCATTATTGCCGAAAACTCCAATCCCACGAGATTTGCTGAATTTGCCGCCTTCATAATTGAGATATTCAGTTGTACTTAGATGGTGTAGCATCGTCCACTTGTCTTTAGTACCCAGCTGACATCCTGGGAATATAACAGCATGGAATGGCACGTTATCCTTCCCGAGAAACTGGTACAACTGGACATCTTCTGGGTTCCTCCACCATTTCTCCCATTCAGAGGTATAGTTGGCAGTAATAGAAGGGTATCCAATACAAGCCTCAAACCAAACGTACAGGACCTTCCTCTCAAATCCATCTAGTGGCACGGGCACACCCCATTTCAAATCGCGTGTGATCCCGCGAGGTTGAAGGCCTTCCTTTAGCCACGACCCAGTGATAACACGGCTATTCTTTGGCCAGTCTCCCTTTTCAAACGCAGTGGCTGCCCAATTCTCAATATCAGGCTGGAGCTTGTCCAGAAGGAGAAAGATATGCTTCGTCTTTCGACGAATTGGGGTGGCGCCATCGACCTTGCAGCGTGGGTTTATCAGATCAAAGGGATCAAGCAGGTGCTGGCACTTGTCGCATTGGTCACCTCGGGCGTCATCATAATGGCAGCGAGGGCATTCACCCTCAACAAAACGGTCGGCAAGGAATGAGTCATGCTTTTCACAAAAGGGTTGTTCCGTGGTTTTCTCTTCTAGATATCCATGTTCATAGAGTCTTTTGAAGATACTTTGGGATATCTCAGTGTGGGCTTTTGTTGGCGTGCGGCCAAATATGTCGAATCCTATATTGAACCACGAATAGACTTCCTGGTGTATTTTGTTATACTTTGAGCAGAGCTCTTCGGGGGTGACGCCTTCTTCCAAAGCCTTGGTTTCGGTCGCAGTGCCGTACTCGTCCGTCCCACAGACGTAAAGTGTTGGCCTGCCGCATGCTTTATTATACCTATGTAAAGACTCCTTGTGTTAGTAGCCGCCGGGTGAAATTCCCTCCCAAAATGCTCACGCGGATTTCTGACCTTGAAAACACATCGGCGCTCAAAACGGAGCCAACAATGTTACCAAGATGCGGGACGTTGTTCACATAGGGCAAGGCACTTGTGATGAGGATGTTCCTTTTCCCCTGCTGGGGTAGGATCTTCGCTGTTGGCTCCATAGTCGAGTTCGAGTTGCCGTGAGAGAAGTGGGAGAGATGAAATTTAGTGGGGGGTGGGAGGTGTTTTTTTAACTCGTTATCGATGAGGCTCAAGCGTAGAAGTCAAAGGATTGGCGCTTGTGACTAACAATTGACCGGTTAACTAGTTAGTTAACTAACCCACAAACGCCTCCAAGACAGCTCTTTTTTCCGTGACAACGAGCTGTGCATGGCAGGTCTGACACATGGAAATGGATAATGGCCATTTTCTCGATGATATCCTTGGCCTCGAAGACGAGTTTTACGCTGAAGGCTACCGGCTAGGGACGCTTGATGGGACAAAGGCGGGCTTCAACGAAGGCAGCGTCTTCGCCATCGAAAAGACCTTTGAAAAGTTCCAGGTCATAGGGAAGCTCTACGGGAAAGGGATAATATGGGCGAAGCGGTTACCAAACCAGCCGGAAATTGTGAAAAGCAGCACCGTCCAGCCGCCCCATACGGGCAGCGATGAGACCCGGGACAGTGTGTTGTTGAGTGGTGATGCTAAGTTGGGCGAGCTGGAGGCACACCCTATACCTGCGCAGGATCTGCCGGCCCTTCCCAGCAACCCGCGACTAGAGAAACACATCGCGACCTTCCTTTCGCTGGTGAACCCCCTCACATTATCTATGGAGAACAATGAAGAAGCTGTGGCCGACTTTGACAATCGATTGAAAAGGGCTGCGGCAAAAGCGAGGATCATCGAGAGGATGCTCGGCGAACCAAGCGAGCATACTGCTGAGCGCTCTGCGGGAGCCAGCAACATCGAAGATATCAACTCACTGCCAGTTCATCTCACTGGTAGCCAGCAAACTCGAAACTCCGCCCCCGTGGTTCAGCTTTGATCAAATCTGGGACTCGGTTCTTGCTGGGAAGGGCTGTCTTCCATTTCTCTCCCGTTCTACTTGACTGAGTGCCTTCAGACATAAAACGCACTGGCAAAATGCTCACGACTTTGGCCATAAATCGCTGGTTAATAGAATGCCATTAATTAATTTCAAGAATTTAACTACTAGACTGTTAAATGCCTTAACTAGGTAAAATTATGAATAATTGTTAACATAACTAGCCAACATTAGTTAGTCAGGTAACAAGCTAACTAACTAGTTAACTAATTTACTACCAAAAAACTAGCTACTTAACTTACCCACTTGAACAATCTTTCCTATGAGAAGCATCTCTCGATACTTCTGCCTTTCTATGTTTTCTCTATCTTTAGAAAAGCAGTTTCAACATGCCTATCAAAATTTCCCACCTTGCAGACCTCGCGCCGCCGCCGCAAGAGAGGTTGTGGCATTCATGCCCCCACCCCCAGCTCCCAATTGTTGCGACTTGTGGCGCGGATAAAATTATTCGCATCTACTCTCTCCTAAATTTCACGTTAATCTCCTCAATAACTGGCGGCCATAAGCGGAGCGTCCGCTGCTCGGCGTGGAAACCCGGCTCTGGTGAAGAAATTGTTCTTGCAACTGCAAGTTTTGACGCAACTGTCGGTATATGGAAACGGTGGGAGCGGCTTCAACCCACCTCTACCAGTGTGTCCCAGGACCCGGAGGCAGACGACGACGGAGAGGATGTACTCTCTGCTACTGGGGATGAAAGTGAAGACAAAGACGACTGGACGTTTGCTGTTGTACTTGATGGACATGACAGTGAGGTGAAGGCTGTCTCCTGGTCATCCTCTGGCTCTCTCCTTGCAACATGTTCTCGTGACAAATCAATATGGATATGGGAAGACCTAGAAGATGGCGAGAGTAACTTTGAAACTATTGCAGTTCTGCAGGACCATCAGGGTGACGTTAAGTGTGTTTCCTGGCATCCAGACGAGGATCGCCTCGCTAGTGGTGGCTACGATAACACCGTTCGACTATGGAAGGAAGATATAGATGACTGGAGCCAAGTTGCCTGCCTTAATGGCCACGAAGGTACTGTGTGGTCGGTTGATTGGGAAAGATCAGCACCCTCTGGAACAAGTACAAACGATATACCAGGCATGTCATCCATCTCCCGCTGTGAGGAAACATTACAGCCGAGAACAGATACCGGTCGGCATGAACCACGGCTTGTGTCTTGTTCAGACGACAAGACTGTCCGTATTTGGAAGAGATTATCAGATCCAGTAATATCAACACCCCAGACCTTGGACAACAGTATACGCGGCACAATACGACCCAACTCCATCGAAGAGATGTGGGTTCAAGAAAACATTTTGCCGAATGAGCATGATATGTCAATCTACTCCGTTGCCTGGAGCAAGGTTACCGGCCTTCTTGCATCTACTGGCGCGGATGGAAAGATAGTAATATATCAAGAACGCCGAAAGCTGGATCGCCACTCTGGTGGTGAGTTGGGTGTAAATGCAGCTGAATCTCAGAGAGACACTACCCTTACGGACGAACAACAGCATCCAGGCAAGTGTAGCAAGGAGACGGAATGGTGTATTCTATCTACAATAGAGGCAGCGCACGGCGTAAACGAAATAAACCATATATGCTGGGCAACGAGAGGAGGCCTGAAGGCAGATTCACCAATACAGGAGATACTCTTAACCACAGGAGATAATGGCATTGTAAAGGCCTGGATATTAAAAACGGGTTAATATTAATTAGTTAATAAATAGTTATTGAAAATATTAACTATTAACTAAATCTAATTAACTATAACGACTACAGGATTATGCAATCAAAATGTGTCACTGGAGTTTAAAACAATCTATATTTGATAGCGAAATAATTATTAAAGGAAGTATGAGCAGACAGCATTGAAGTTCTCAGTTTATACTATTTAACTATAACTTGATTAATGGTTATTCCATTGCCGTTTAGCTATGGTGTATGATCACGTTTAATCATATACACTAGTTAGCCCTTTATTAGTAGTTACCTTAAATTGCTGTCTTACACTGCTTTAACTGATAATTTGAACCCTGACGTCCTTATAGACGCGAGATCATGTCACAAGCTTATCCTTGTCCCATAACTAGTTATGACTTCGGTCACAACACCGCAGGGAATGTTGTAACGGATCTCCAAATCAGCAGTTCAAGCTTATACGGTTGAATATCAACACCTGGACAAATCTAATACCCTGGGACTTTGTCCAAGGCCTTTTCCTCTTACCTTCATCTCACGCAGGACTCGAACACCAGTTGACACCCAGGTCATGTTTCCAGGTAGTTACTAAGCTCAGTTGACTAGTTATATAACTAGCTAATCATCTTACTTTTAATCCAGTCCCCCGATTCCCCTCAACACACGGACCAGGACAAGCCCAACATTATATATTTCAAATTGTATGAAGTTGGAGACATGGGGGAAGGGACGACAGAGCAAAGAGAAAGGTTCTTAGCGGGAGTGCCTGAAGATACCAATAAATACCGAAATTCAGGGCTAGAGGACGCTGAAATGAAAGTCTATGGGGAACACAGGAGCCCATATGTTATCTTCATAGATGTCCCTCAGTCTGAAGTCGACAAGATCGATAGCAAACATCTGGGGAGGCTTGACTACCAACGTTTCTTACAAATAATGGTTGTGAAAATGCCCACCGTCCCACATGAAGAAGCTCTCAGCCGCTTCAGTAACCTCGTTACCTTAAAAGCGGATAGGATACAGGTTGGGAGCCTTACCCGGTACAGGGGCATCACCACAACCAGGTCGAGAGAAAGAGAAAAGGAAGCAGATGCATCTTAGTCCCCTCGTTGGCCACCCCCGGCCGATCGAAACAATGGCCAACAGTGAAACTGGAAGTGGGCTATTGCGAATCACGATAGAGATTCAAGCATGACGTGGCATGGTGGCTTTATGGCTCAAATGGGGATGTTTTAATGGCCCTATCAATTGACATAAACAAAAACAACTGGTAGTATTAATATTACCTCATGAGAACGGGACATGATGCCTGCTGATATCATCCAAACCTAGATCCCAAAGTGGTAGAAGAGACGAAGATATTTCGGGGCAAAATGGCCAGCCCGGAAGAGTAGAGGGTGTTGACTTGGTTATACCTTTCTGAGCCATGTTGCTTCGTTCGCCCAACATGATCCAGGGAGAAAGTGATTTTATTTTTTTACCACAAAGGAGCTCCTACAACTGACCGAAGCTGTGCGGGAAGATATGGATAATGGTAAGTGATAAGGAGACAATAAAAATTTCTTCCCGTCAGAAAATAATTAACATGAATATTAATGGCAGGCGGGGATTTAACGTTGTAGAAACATTGGTAGCGCTGAAATAAAAACAATGTAATTTCGTAGGGAGCTTTTCTCTCATTTCTCTAGATCTCTGTCGGTTTTTTAAAGCCACCGAGTTTAAACAAACAGTACGAAGCGTTCTATATACATGCTGATGGAATCTGAGGCTTATCAACAGTAAAGGAGAGATTCTAATAGAGCTTATTAGGTTTCCAGAAGTGCGATGGTTCAAAGTTTGGATCTTCAATGTCAGTTTGTATATTTTGGTCACCAGGGGTGGCTGCATCTGTTGACTGTGATTGAGAAAGCGTCCTCAGCCGGGAGGGTGGCGTACATAGAAAATCCCTGTCAGGCTCAGACGGAGTCCTCAAACTTTGAGTTTCACCATCCAGCAGATGTATTGAGCTATCTCTCCTAGAAGATAGAGTGTCTAGGTCTATCGTTTCAGACGGAGGGTTCTTTGGTAAATTAAAAGGCGGCGGGGAGCCATAAAGACGATACTGACGGCTGAATGTAGATGAATAGCTGGGTAATTGCAATGAAGGGACTTTTAGTGGTGTACTAGGACCCGGTGCGAGTGTTAGGTTGGAGCTTTGACATGTGAGCCTTTTCTGGCTACGCTCGTTCAAAGAACGTTGGACATTATCGACGGCCGCCTCACAGTCTGAAGGATAAGAACCACGGCGAGATGGGTATTGTCGTAGGCGTGGTATTGTAAGATAACTGGTATAATCACAACCAGATGGGAAACCATAAATAGCTGGGCGAGGTATATCCTCAACACTTGGCCAAGGGCGATTTATTTTGCCCAAGCTGCCCCGCCTCTTGTGCTCTGTATCCTTTGATGAAGGAAGAAGTTCTTCAGGAAACCTTGGAGATAAGAGTATATTCGCCCCCCCTTTACTGGCCCTTCCGGAACGGTAACATTGCCTCCAGGATGGCTCTTGGGTCAAGGTCTCCCTTGAATTTGAATGTTGATTATGGTGCGGTTGGGCTTGCAGGCAAGCAGCGCTGGGAGGGTGGGAAGACGGGGGTATATTGGTCTGATATGGTATTGGGGATGTTTCTGCCGCTTTTCGAAGCAAGCCTTCGAGAGAGTATGACTTTGGTGAGTGATGTGTTTCAGTGTGTTCAAAAGTGTTAGAAACGTATGCGTTATGAAACAGCATATCTTGCACTTTTGAGTTCATTTGGGAGGAGCCCGCGCTGATAGAACGTCTAAGCTGTCTGGAAATGCCGCCTGTCTGGCAGGGTTCTTTGGGATCGCTTGATGAGATTTTTGAGTTTGTCTTGGACCACGTATAGTATGTAGTAGACTGCTCACTTCCGGCAACATTACTCCCAGCCTCTGATAAGGCCCTTTTCCTGCTAGAATTGGGGTTTCGATGTCTTTTTTTGCTCCAATTAGTGGGAGAAACAGAGTGTTCAGGATCCGCTATTGAACATGGTGATGCTTTATTTTTTACGAATATCGGCAACTCTAGATCACAGGGGTTCTTTAACTGCTTACAGACAGGACGCTGTGGGCTTTTCGGCTGCGAAGGTGAAAAATACTTGGAGATAGTGTTCTGCTGACTTGGATGAAACGGATTCCTCTTGTCCAAATCTGCGCAGTGGGGTATCGAGTCATGGCGAGACTTTGAGTGAGAAGATAGGAAGTTAAGCTCGGGGAAAGAGAGATCTGGAACTGCTGATGGCAATTAGTAGTTAGATAGTAATAAGACAGGAAGGGTGGGGATATCTCACGTTCATTTCGTATAACCGGAGACGAAGCTCGGCCGCGTCTAAAGAGGCCACCAGCAGCTACGCTAAGCTTCCCGAGTGCATTAGCAATGTAACTACCACCACTTAGGTGGCTATTATCCGTACCGTAAGCCGCTCTTGAGAAATATTTGGAGGTTTAAATTTATCTTTGATGCCTGTGGTTCCGGATCTCCGGCCAGATTCCAGCCGTTTTATCTGACGATGGGTCTTGCTTGGTCTTCGCGCTGTTCTAGGCTCGTACCGATCTTCCCTCGTCTTACGCCTAGGCTGGCGCTGGTATCGTGGGCTTTTGCCCAGTCTGTTAGGTCTAGGGCTACTGTGAACGCCCATCTTTGCCGGTTTGCCCAGGCTAATATTATTCTGAGATTGGGATATCAAAGGTTGGCAAATTAGAGTTGACCTGGGTATATGTGAGCTTGTCAACTCAAACAAGAGAATAGCAGGTCAAGGCCGTAAGCACAAGGTTGATTCGAGTACCTGGGGCGATATTGGGCTGGTGTCTGCAAGAGTATGCGACTGAGTGATGGGCAACTTAGTTGTCACAGGCCAAGTGATAAGGTTAAAAACCCAAAAAGGGTAATTCAACGTCCTCTCAGAGGGGCAGCTTCCTCTCTGAACGGATATTGAGTGTCAATCAGCGGGATCTTATTATCTCTAAGACCGATAGTTAAGGACCTTACAATCTCCATCATTGGGTACTTCCCTCAATTAACTAGACGGATGGGTCCTAAGATGGAAAACATGTAGATTTAATCGTATCTCTTGGGCTTGTGGTGCAGTTGTCCAGGTTGCTTAAATGGGAGGGACTTCAATGTTAACTGTATCTCATTTAAACCGCTATGAAATATAGCACTATCAAAGAAGCTTCCAAGATTAGAAATACGAGAGGCTAGCAGGGCTCTTTTCTCCAAGCATCAACACCAATTTAGCCAAGGTGAGTATTTAGATACGCGAAACTCAGTGACAAAGGACCATTGCTTCACCGCTTGTTGTCCTGACAAGTTCGTAACATCATGTTTTGTCCTTCAAGCCTTGCGACCTGAAGTTTGAGTTCGTCCCGTTCCCTGAGGGCATCCGCCAGCTGTTTCTCCAGGCTACAGATTCGATCTTCCTTTCTTTTGCGAAATCTGCGAGCAGCCATGGTATTACGGTGCCGTTTCTCGTTGGCGATTTCCTCTGTAGAACGACTATCATCATCTACACGTGGCCGTTTACGGTTGCTGTTTGACTTGGTGGTTGAGCTTGAAGATGATTCGGGGCTGAGACCAATTTCGGGAACAGTGGTGCTCGAAAATTCGGGTCTTGATAGTGGAGTACGGGCCGAATTCCTTGTTGTTATTGTTGGGACATTATTCACATCACGAAAAGAGTCCCCGGCATCACCGGCTATGTGGATATCAAGGAGGTATGGATCAGAGTCTTTCATGGAGTGTAAGGAGCCGTTCTTAGATACTGGCGTTTGAATGGGACTATGATCGATGGATGGTGTAAGGATCTGACTCTGGGAATTGCTTAGATCGAGTTCCTCGGTAGAAAGCAGTGCTTGCAACGGGTCGTCGTAAAGTTCCCAACTCTGTGATGACAGGTCTAGGATATTTTGTCCTGTAGAAAGAGGGTATTGATCCTGGGCAAGGTATGTTGTATGATCTGGAAAGAAAGCGGCAAAATGGTCTGGTGACGGGAAAGGGGAAGAAGAATCCGCAATCGGCGGAGCAAGCGAGGAAGAAGTAGGCGGAAAAGGCGAAAAATGGCTGCTGATACTTGTTGACGAGGATAAGGAAGGATGACTGAATAACGACTGAGAATGATTAGGCGCGCAGGTACCGAGCTGGTCGCAATCACGACGGCCACTTGGTAGCGGAGACGAGGCACGGCTGGAAGAATCCGAGGGTCTGACGAACGCAGCCGGCTGATGCACAAGCAGTGGCCGACATGACGAGATGGTGGAGGGTTAACGGAGTTCTATCAAGGTGTAGCTGAGGTTCACAGCGCTTGGAGAGCCACGACGTGAAGACAGCAGCAGAGCAGGAGGCGAGGACAGCGATGGGCGTCCGGCTTCTGGCCCTTATATAGCATAAAGATAGTCGCCCTCGGGTCGCAAAAGGTACGGCTGAGCTAAGCGGCTTAGTCATACCCTTAACGGGCCAGAGGGGCATCGAGCGGATGAGAGCCAATAAAATAAAGGCGTTTGACCCACTAGCAGGGACGGTAATATTGGCATAAACATCACAGCCAATAGGAGCTGCCTAAAATGAGTCATTCTTGCTCACTGTGAGAAAAGTTCGAGATGCCGAAGGGGCGAGACGACAAGGAGGAAACCTAGCCTTGTTTGTGTTTAGACGAGATGACGATCAGCAACGCTTTTCAGCCCTGAAGACAGACGGGGAAAACAGATGGAGGAGGCATTGGGGGGGTTTCTGACGATGTCGACAAGCTTTGACTCCTTCATGACAGCTGGGAGTTCAGATCGGCAAATATGATATCTTCATTGCCCATGATGGATAGGATAGATAACTAGTTTGGATGAGCGATGGGATTCTCGGGATGCTTACTTACTCTCTAGCTCTCGAGGTTTGACCGAGGCGAGGACTCTCCATCGGCTTTTGGCGATGCGACATGCATCCGCCCAACTTGACCTGGGCTACGGCATATATATATACATATATACAGCTACATCTGGACTGGGAGTTGAAGAAACCGCTATGCCATGGACGATTACGCTAGAAGGCTCAGAATTACTCACTCTTACTCTTGCCAGGTTAGCAGCCTCGAAGGAGAGGGATTTGCAGGAGAACTGTGATGGCCAAGACATGGGTAAACGGCGTATGGATAGATGTCTATAACTGTACGCCCCTAACTAACATGTCCGTAAGCCCCTTCGCCAGACAACTGACTGCCGACTATGTATGTTAACAGGGCTAACTGAACTGGGTGACAGACAATTGCCCTACCACTTCCCTTTCAAGTCAGGGCATAATACGGAGTATCCCTTCTCTGGCTGACCTCCCCAGAGACATCCCAGATGTAACTCAAAAGGTGCTGAAACAGCCAACTACGCAGCCAACTAATAATTTACAGGCTGGTTAACTAACTGGGCAACTCAGCTGGATAATAACTATTACCCGAAAGCCATTTTCCAGCCCTCATGCTTCGCAAGGGCCTTGCGGTGGGTGGAAAGATGGCCCGGGGTTGCTGGACTTAAAAAGGGATGGAAGGCCTGGGTAACTTTCTGCCGGGGCTTCTGAGGTTCCTTGAGGGAGTCAAGAGTGTCAAAAGGAGGCCGTCTCGGAAGAATATCGGCACTTTCTCATCTCTTCCGTCTCGCTGGAGCGGCCGACGATCATGGAGGCTGCATGTGCCAAGCTCAACAGGAGCCTGCTTATCTTCGTGTCAGAGCGTGTGGAGTGGCAGGGGGGAGGCCAGCAGGCGCATCGTCCATGACATCCATCCATCCACCGCATCCCATCCAAAGCCGCTTGTTATCTGTCCAGAGAGAGAGTTCTAAGATGCCTGTATGTACACAGTACATGCACTGCGCTGCACTGCAGCCTCCTGTCGACCCAGCCAGTCCGCGTCCCCCATCCCCGTTCCCCCCAGCCTATAGGGGCAAAGAGAGATAGCGAACAAGATTTGTGATGGTTCAACCCTGGACTTGCCGACAGGCCAGTCAGCGGGCCAGGACGGAGGGCTAGTGTGCAACCACTGCAGCGCTCTCTTGAGACTGTGGACGAGATGCTGGGTGTCCAAGGCTGCCATCGCGGCGGTCGACCGTCGAATGCTGGCCAGAACGCCGAAGCAGCGGCGCCAGGAGGAGCCATGGAGGGGAGACGAAGGTGCGAGGGCTGCCGCCTCTCAGGCAGACGCAAAGTATCTATGGGGTAACTCGCTACCTCGCTGCAAGTTACTCCTGGCTACGCCGCTGCCCCCAGCTGGATGGCCTCTTGCTGTCCCGTCTCAGCCGTCAATGCTGCCCTTATCATATACTAACTAGTTAACTAACTAGTTAACTCGGGGGAGCCTGCTGCTGGCGACCCTCTGCTGCCTCTTGTCTCTCTGGATGGAGTAGTCAGTTGGGCTGTTTGGCGTGCTGGCTGCTGCTACGCCGGACTACGAACTCGCTGCCCTGACAAACCAACCACCCGACTCGACCTCTGCTGTCATGTCATGTCAACCTGCTAGCTAGCTAGCTCATCCGTCTGTCTCGCACACACACAAAAAAAAGCCTTCTTTGCTTTTCGCAATTTTTTTTTCATCTTTTTTTAGTTTCTTTTTTTTTTTTTTT